ATTATTATCATTATTATTATTATTATTATTATTATTATTATTATTACTATTATCGTGCGAAAACGCCGCTTATCTAATCATTCTGCTCGGGCATAGTGCACCGTCACGGCACGGCGCACGCATTTTTACAGCTTTTCACAGTCTGCGCCAGCCCGCTGACCAAAAAGCCGGAAGACTCTGGGCCAAGAGACCCAGTTTCTCTCGTTTGTCAGAGCAGGTGCGGTTTCTAAGCATCCAAGATGGCCGGTTGTGGAGGCGATCATCATCATCATCATCACGATCATGACCACGTACACGACGATCCGTCAGAAAGAGGAAGTCAATACAGCTTGTACCAGAAGATTGACATGTTCAGGCTGCAGTGTCTCAACGAAGCAGAGGAAGAGTCGGGAAAAAATGTCTTTAAACCTTGGGACAAACGACTTGATTTGACGAAATTTGTTGAAAGTGACGTTGATGAAGAACTCCTGTTTAACATCCCATTTACGGGTCAAATAAAGCTAAAAGCATTTGTGGTTATAGGTGGGACAGACGGAGATCATCCCTCTGAAGTAAGACTTTTCAAAAATCGTCCTTTTATGACGTTTGACGATGCAAAGGCTGAGGCTGATCAAACTTTTGAACTGCACAAAGACCATGATGGTAGTCTTGAGTATTCCACCAAAATAGCTCGTTTTTCAAGTGTAAATCACTTGTCCATGTACTTTCCTAAGAACTTTGGAGCTGAGACATCAAAGATTTACTTCATCGGTCTAAAGGGAGATTTTCAAGAGGCCTACAGACATGAAGTGACAGTTTGCACATATGAAGCAAGGGCAAACCCAGCTGATCACAAGACTAATGCCATGGACTCTGTTAACCATATGATACAATAGTTTGATTAGAACTTGTTGAAATCATGCTAATAACTTGCTTCTCTGCTCGCATTATTACAGCCTACTGCCCAGTTTATCATGACCGAAGGAAGTAGTTTGAAAGGGAATTGATAAGTTAAGCTTATTCCATTGTCAAAAATTCGTGAATTAAAAAAAAAGTACAAAAGTTGTCTTGTCTGTTTCTGGTATTTAATGCTGTAATAAACATGCGAAAAATAGTAACAAACATAAATTAATTAATTTATACAACAATCTTCGCACCCCTCCCCCCTGATATTTTTTTCAAGATGGCAGACAGCATCGTGTCGTTCGTGACGTCCTGCAGCAAAAGAGATTTCGGTCTTCTGTTAGCTGCAGTATTTGGAACAGGTATTTGGCTTTTAAGACGGTATTTAGTGGGTAGAAAGTGTACAAATACAATTCGTTTGGATGGCAAGACCGTGCTTATTACCGGTGGTAGTTCTGGTATCGGGAAAGCCACATCTATGGAGATGTCTCGTAGAGGTGCTCGAGTGATCCTTGCCTGTAGAAGTGTAGAGCGTGGAGAACAGGTTGCTAAAGAGATCCGTTCTATGTACAGTAATGCTGATGTAGTGGTGAAAGAGTTAGATTTAGCGTCGTTATCATCTGTGCGAATCTTCGCTGAGGCATTCATGAAAGAGGAAAGTCGCCTAGACATCTTGGTAAACAATGCTGGAGTGTATCAACCCGCGGTGAAGAAGACAGTCGATGGGTTTGAAGCACAGTTTGGAATCAATCATCTTGGTCATTTTTTACTTACTAATCTGCTACTTGATCTCATCGAATCATCAGCACCAAGCAGAATCGTTGTAGTATCATCATCCTTGGGCAAGAGAGCTCAGATTGATTTTGATGCATTTTACAAGGAAGATGCTCAACAAGTTGTCTCAAGGCACCGAATGCCTGCCGGTTATGGACGCAGTAAACTCGCAAACTTTTTGTTTGTCCATGAGTTAAGCAAAAGGCTACCAGAAGGTTTGTTTACTCTTCATTCTCATTTAACCTTTGTCATCATCATCATCTAATGTACATCAACGTCATCATGTAATCACCATTATGATCCTCATCTAAATTACGTCACCAACATCATATTCATCAACTAATCTACATCACTACACAGTCATTTCTTTTTCATTATTTTTTCCCAGGGATTTTCTTTCTGTCTACAATAGTGAGGTGTCCATAATATCGGGGTGTCTGCAAGGGGAGAGTTGACTGTAAATCATCTATTAAAACTACATCATCATCATCATCTTTACATTTATTTCCGTTGTTGAAACTAGCCTTTCTAAACCAAATAGCATATAAATTAAACTATATTTTGCAAGAATGATCTCAGTTGTCTTAGTTCATATCTTGATATAAATACCATCTGACCTATTTTGTCATACATTCATTAGGTGTGACTGTCAATTGCCTATGCCCTGGAATAGTGTGGACAAATCTTGGACGTGACACCAACTTGTCTCTCAAATCAAAGCTCATCTTTTACCCACTGGCCTTTGTGTTTGCTAAAAGACCCTCAGAAGGAATGCAAACCCTTATCTACTGTGCTACTGAAGAAAAGTTGAGCAATGTTTCTGGCAAGCATTTCAGTAACTGTGAAGAGAAGGAATTGCCTCCTCACTGTACAGATGATGGAGTAGCCAAAAAACTTTGGGAAGTCAGTGAAAAGCTCTGTGGACTAGCATAGAATAGCATAGAATGAATAGAAAATAGATGAACTGCACTGAAAAATGACGTCAGCCTTAGCTTTCCCTGTGAGTAGACACTCCATTTTCTCTTCCTTCTTTATGCAAGGAGGGAGACTCTGCTAATATAGAACATTTCTCTTGATATAATACTGAAACCAGCTTTAAAACTAGTTTTTAATCAGATGTACGCAGTGAGACTGTCAAAATTAGAAAATTTTCACAGCGTTGCTTGCATGACAAATATACTGGCATCATGCTACATTGGCAGATTGTATCCCCCCCTCTCATTACCCAAGGACGGAAGCCAGCTTATAAGACTAGATTTCCTCTTTACCCCAGTATGTCATAAACTTCTTGATGTGTTATATACACTCATCATCATCATTATRACTCATCCTGCCAGGAAGTGTATAAGGCCTTCACACTATGCATCGAACCTGCTCTGTTCTGCTTTACCATTAAAATACACTGCTTGAAGAATAATGAAACAGAACAGTTATTACCCATTCAAGTGCTTTAATGTTGCATTTTTGCCTATAAATCAATAATCTATTACATCCATTTGAGTTTTTATAATACTTTATGTATTGAAATATTCCTAATATCTACAAATAATATAAAATAATGCTTTCATTTGAATACTTCTAAGTTAAAAAAATATTTGCTTGTAATTCTGCATAACAGATAGACCAATTTGATCTACATTCTTTCATTTTTCTCTGTGCAGTAACCATTTCAATAGAAACAAGAAGCTTTTCATGGTGGCATTAAAAACTCATCAAAAGACCTTATACAGAATGCTTTCGGTCAATGAAACAAATCCTTTAGGGTATAATGTTTTCCCATTTCAAAGGTATATGTCGTTCCCTTGAGAATAAGATTCACTGTTTGTTATGCCCAAGTGAATTGATTAATCCATTTAATTAGGTCAAGTGCCATTCCCCAGAATATCATATATTTTTGGCTTAAAACAAACAAATATTCATGTAAATTATTCTGACAAAGAATCTTATTTCTAAGAGCATGACAATATGGATGATGGAAAGACATTAGGTGCTAACTGAAAGGGTTAAGTGAGCTCCCATATTTCTCTACTCACGGTCAGTAGTATTTTTGATATCCTATACTATAGAACCCTATTCGATTTTTCTTAAACAATAAAACAAATATAGTATTTGATTTTCGTTAAAATTATCCTATTCTGTGGTCAACTTTCAAGGATGTGCTGTCATTTTTGTTCATAATTTATCAACTTCATAACCAGGTTATCTTTCTCCTCCTCTTTATTGTCCAAGAGAATACAATTTACCTGGGAACCAAGTTCATGTTATGTTCTGTTTTTATTATTATTATTATTTTTTTTTTAATATATATATCTAATTTAGATTTTTCCTATTCATGAAACATTTATTGGATGAGATTGAGCGTGATTTATAGCTTATCAAGACCGAGGCTTCGTTATCTGTCAAGTTCACAAGTATCATGGATTGGCCGGCTGTAGGCTCTCGGCCATTGAGAAGCAAGATAGTAAGTAAAATGTATAATGATTTGTCAAACTCATTAATAGTTCATGAGGAAAACACAAGAGAAATCACGACCATGAAGAGTGTTGTAATCTAATACAAAATTGTGTTCATTTGCATAAACTTTAAGTTGGATTTTCTTGGCCAGATTCACTTTAATTTTGAAAATTTTAGTGATACACAAAGGAACTAACCTAAACGTTTGATGAGTAATATACAGTATTCGCATGTCCGTGTTGTATCCGATATACAAACGTTTGGCTACACCTCAGTTTGTATATCTGATACAACACGGCCACTCATATTGTATATATTACATATTGTGTTAGTGTCATACCACTAGTGTGAAACATGCTGCAAGCTTTTCGTATTAAACCTCTTTTTGACTTAACTATGTCAGCTCAACTGAATGGATCAGTTTGGAATCCTGGGACATTAGCAAAAATATTTGATCCTATAAAATAAATGTTCATGATTAATGTTATCAATAATAAATGAATATTTTGATATTATTAAAATATGTTTAAAGAAGAAGAAATGGAAAAAAAATGGAGTCTGTGTTCATATGACCTCATTGTTATGCATGTTGTCATTGATATGCATGGATTGAGACAAAGATATTGAGCAATAGACTGCTGTCAATCAAATCATTAGAGTAGGTTCCCATGTATCCTTACGTCATCCTTGATTGACAGTAATCTATTGCACAATATGTAGCAATCAAAACAGAGGTAAACTGAAGTGGAACTTAAAATGTTGTAACATCATAGTAAATCATGTCTTACCAAGTTGTTGTTCAGGTACTGCAAATGGTCCTCTGATGTTGACAACATGACAGTTGTACAGCCATGATGGAGGCTCCCACCTATGCCACTAAAAGGATATAAAATATACAGCCTGTTTTACTGTAAGTTTACAAGAAAATAAATAACAGTCAAGTGCATGATGAAGTGTCATCAATAGGTAATGGCATAATCAGCTGAACTCAATTATGAAGATAATACTTGCAGCTTTATTCTTTGGTGCTTGGATTGTTAAAGGTAGTAGAACATCCACAGATATAGCATATTTGATTTCCATACCAGCGTCAATGTGATATATGCACTGTTAGTCACAAAAGAAATGTGTTTTTTTATGAGYTATATGACAAGTTTCTTCTACATTGCCCTTTTTGAAAGCTCATTATATCATAATAATTATATAATTACACATTGTTTACCTTAACAAATTCACCTTCTGTTGATGGCTGAAATTCTTCACCTGAATCTTTCTTTAGTGACAGAAGTATTTCACTTGTTACAGGAAAAAAAGTGAGATATTTATGACCCAAATAATATTAGCATAATTATATTATAGTGTTGTTGTAACTATCAAGAGGTGTCTCAGGAATGTTAAAAGGAAGTCATCTTTGAACATTTAATTTTCTGATATCCCCTCTCTAAGAAAAAACTGAATATAGTCCCGTTAGCTTTAAGAAAATTTTGAGTCAAATATTCTATTGCTGAAACCAACCTGTTTTTGTTAGCCTTGCTTAAGCATCCTTCTTGTGTGACAGTCAACATGATATTTGGGATAAAAGGGCTTTTAACAAGTGTTGTTGAAGTATTTTCTTCTTGGCTACCAGAAGAGTCACATTTGTCTCTGGGTGAGAGGGTAACTACTCTCATCACCTACGAAGTACATGGTATTGATGAGTTTTGAACTTGTTGTCTTTATTAAAACCATTCTTATAGTGATAATTCAGTACGGAGAGCTGCAGATGGCTTGTCATGACCCATTTATGATCAGACAAATCATTGAGGGGATGTTAGACATCAAATGACCTCATCTCTGAATAACTAGAGAATGTGCATATTTTTTCAACCATTACCAGTAAACAAAGAAATCCTATTCAAGGCAATAAGCCTTTTCATAGTTTAAGAATCAATTCCACTGCGCATGCGATTTTATCCCGAATTTCTCACCTTTTGTCTAAACCTTCTTTTGTTCTTAATTAAACAAAAGGTGAGAAATTCGGGATAAAATGGCATGCGCARTGGAATCGATTCCTAAACTATGAAAAGGCTTATTGCATGTGGTTTTGAAGAATGAAATTAAAGGATTACTGACCTTTACATTCATAGCATCAATGTCAACACCTGAGTTATTTTTAGTTTCTAGAATCAATTTTGCATCTTCGCCTGAAGTGTATGCTTTTTTATCTAACCTGTCAATCAAAATATACAAACACCCAGCTGAACTATTTGTTGCCATGGTGATTATACATTGCTTACATTGTCAGGTGTCTTTCCCTGCTAGCTAAGGTCCCTAAGGTGACATTGACAATATTTTTTATTTGCACCCTAGTATATTAGGCTAACACAACACAACACACCGACGGTCTTTCCAAATGAGCTAACTGGGTGGTACTTTTTAAGGTAACAGACAATATATATTCATATTGGAAAGCTTTGACTGTTCCAAACATTAATTCAAAAAAGAATAGATCATACCTGGCTATAAGAGATACATCTCCTCTGGGAATACAACAACAGATCTTGACTGTCTTCTTGTCGCTCACTGGGTCACCTTGTATATCACTCAAGGGTAGGTTCTTGTTGATAATTATTGGCTGCACTTCCTGATCATAAACAAACAAGAAATTAATTGGATTATGATGTAACAACTTGTATTGGTTTCAGAACTAATTCATAGTATATGAAATCAAATGTTATGAAATAATAGTAGTTCTTGACTGATGACTCTTGAATACTGACTATAATAATTGTCATTACATGTCTACATGAACTACTGTCACCATTAATATGCTAACCATTTAATAAACAATAGGTTTTGCCACTTTGCATTGTTGGATCTAATGGATTTAGTGATTGACAGTTTAAATGAAAATTGACCAAACAAATAGATCTCTTTGGCTCTGACGTTATGTTTTCCTATTTCAGACCACATGTCATTCCCTAGGGTATCATTTCTTTGTTTAAGGTTTGCGCTTGGTTGCACATGATAAGACACATGAATATGGATACAGCTCAAACAAAGAATCTTATTCTCCAGGGAATGACACGTGGTCTGAAATGGGAAAACATTACCCCAAGCCGAAGAGGTCTATTGCATAAACATACACCAACCTGTTCAGGATAATAACTGCCATTATAACTCACCTGTAATACTTTTCCAGAGCCTGACATTTCAACTTCTGCAGTAACGGAATATTGTATTTCTGCTGACCATTTGGATGTATTGTCAGCCTGTACACCATTATCTTTGAATGTGGCTATAATAGAATAATACATTGCTATAATATACTGGACAAGAATGACATTCACATTATGTACCTACAAAGATTCTATATACCTGTAGTTAGAAATTAACTGATGCAGGGCTGTTCATGGATCACTTACAGAAGCAATTCCAGGCCATTCATCAGGCTGCCATGTACTATTCTAAGACCCCCGAAAGTGAACCCCTCAATGTCGAATCCAAGATCTAGACCTCATTATTTTCAAATCCACCCTCTCAACCATTACAGTTGCAGTACAATAAATAACAAATAAATAAATTAGCCATGCAAAGTACACTCCTGACCAATAATCACCTGGTAATTCTTGTTGTAGTGAGAAGTGGAAAGGATATGCATAGAATCCCATTGGTATACCACCTGAAAGTAACACAAGATATACTCTAGAATAATACAATTCACAATCATATATGGTAGTAACAATCCAAATCATTATTGTACCTACCTTCATATTCTATTAGACGAAACTCAGCCCTAAACTTAGTTTTATTGTAAGATTTTTTCCCTATTTTTTCTACCATCTCTCCATTCTCTTCTTTTACCTCTTTGTATTGCCATTCACCTACATAAAACAGTTTCATTTTCAGAGTTATTTCAAAATATATTATTCACAACAATTTATAGAGGTGAGAGAGTTTGCCTCCCACCAATGCRACCTGGGTATGAGTCCTGCCTGGGGCTTGGTGCTGTATATAGAGTTTTTAGTTGGTTCTCTCCTGTGCTTTGAGGGTTTTTCTCCCATTTGATCATGGAGTGAGGGCCAGCGGTTTGTTAGCCACTTGCTATTAAGTTCCAACCATTGGAAAATCAAGGACAGTTTTTTTTATCCTTATCTGAGAATAGGGTATTAATGACCATGAGATTAGCCATAAATTTAACCCATGACCTACATCCCAACAGACCCATACCCAACTACATGAGTCACCCACATGGTGGAAGTGTCATTCTAAATTAATTACTAATGTGCACAGACAGAAGCATGGTCATATGTTACCATGAATTTAACCCATGACCTCCAACCCAACAGACCCATACCCAACTACGAGTCACCCACATGGTGGAATCGTCATTCTAAATTAATTACTAATGTGCACAGACAGAAGCATGGTCATATGTTACCATGAATTTAACCCATGACCTCCGATGTGAAATATACACACAGTCTCAAATTACTGTACATTTTTCGTATCCTTTGAATTTCAGCTTGACTGCATGGCAGGCTTCTGTACTGCATATCCAGAGGTACACAGCTCTACAATACAATACATCAGTAAACATATATATGAAAACAATAAAAGTATAATAGAATCTATTGAAGAAATGGTTCAGCTTATTTCCTGGATGAGTTATTACTACAGTTATCGACAAAAACGTTGTTATAAACTGCAAATTATAACAGAATTAACTCAAGAAAGAAAGAAAGTAATTCATTTATATCTTGCATGTCTAAGCTTACGAGCAACAGCAAATGAGTGGAGACGAGTATCGATACTGATATTCAGAATCATGGCAGCTAGATGTTTAGGATGAGATTAAATATTGATTTACAAATTAATCAAATCAGTGTTATTGATTTACCCGTAAACTTTCTCGCCTCCGACATATTCACCCTTATTGGTCCTGACAGCAATCTTGTTTAAGCTCATTTTAGCTCATAAATATACAAATCATAATATCCATTCCTTAGCGCTGCCTTCTCTTAACTTCCACCTAAACTTCAACTCACCAAGGATGCTGAATCTGAGCTTCTGCACTTTAGGAGAACCAAGATGTTCATCAATACATGAATAACTTTTTTCTTTCTTCAATTTAAAATAATAAACCAAATAAAGAAAGCGAAAATGTTAAATAGATAATTAAAAACTGCAGGAATACTTCTCAATATAAATAAATCTATTTTAATCTATATTTTATGTTGATGATAAAATTCGATTAAAAATTAATTTCTCATCACATTTTTCCGGGAAACAAAATGCTCAATGTTGCTGGAGCCTGGTACTAATAGTCAAATCTAAGATGGCGGGCAGACTGACTGATTTTGTAAGACATTCTGTACAAGCTAAATATTTTGGTATTTTGAAATCTGATGTTCAAATTAAAGCACTGAGTGGACTCTTAGGGAAAAGATGGTTTGCTWATTCTCGAAGTGCAAATGCAAACGATTTTGGCCGTGAATACACATTTACAAATGCAACATGCTTGGAAAAGGATAAGGAACCAGTCGAGCAGGGCTCGTACGGTCACGAAAAGAAAGGAGAAAATAAACTAGAGGATCAAAAACTCCTTAAAGTTGCTATTATTGGAGAACCAAATAGTGGAAAATCCACTCTTGTTAATAGTTTAGTCGGTGAAAAGGTGTTTGCTGTGACAAACAAGCCTCATACCACCAGACAGAGGGCTCAAGGACTGTTTACCAGGGGTACTGCTCAAGTTATTTTACTTGATACACCAGGAGTCGTAACAAGATCTGAAGGAAGACGCCTCAAGATGACACGCGAACATGTCACTGCTCCTGAAAATGCTTTAAAAGAAGCAGACATGATAGCTGTAGTCAGTGATGCTGCAGACAAGAGAACTAGACACAGATTACATGAACAACTTATAGAAACTCTCAGTAATCATAATCATATTCCTTCTTTCTTGATTCTAAATAAGATAGACAGACTTAAGCAAAAGACTGAACTTCTTGGATTGGTTTCGGTATTGTCAGAAGATCGTGAGAAAGATGAATGGGGATATGTTGATAAAGGTGGATGGAGTCGGTTTGATAATATCTTCATGATATCTGCTAGATCAGGTGATGGGATTGATGATGTCAAGAAGTATCTGTCACTAAGGGCCAAGCCAGGAAAATGGATGTTCCCCCCTGATTCTAATACCGATTTAACATTACAGCAAAGGATTCATGAGATATTCAGAGAGAAAATTTTACAACTTTATGAACATGAAATTCCATGGCAAATCAAACAGGTTTGTTTGTAGCTGCAAGTCTATACTAGACTAAAGAATGTGACCCCAATATTGGTAAGGGTAGGGTGTAAGTAGGATATCAGGCTAGGGTGTTGGCATGTTTTTGGCTAACTCCCTTCTGACACCAATTTTAGAGTTGCATTCTTTTATACTAATACTATAAAAAGGGCACTTTACTTGCAGGGAAATTTCACCTTTACTTTATCCCATCCTCCACCCTCTATTCAATTATCCCATTTTTCACTGGCAAACCAAAAATAAAATAGAACAATAATTGTCAATATCAATATCTTTTAAAAATATCAATATCTTTTAAAAGGAGTGGAAATTTTGGCTAACATGCAGAACATTAATTATTAATGTTCTGCATGTTAGCCAAAATTTCCACTCCTTTTAAAAGATATTGATATTTTACGAAACTACAAATATTTATGCATATTTTTGCAACAGTCTTTTATGTGCTGCATTAATGGGCTATCTTCTTATTTAATAATACTTTTTTATTAACAAAACAGGTCAATGTGCTGTGTGAGCTTAGAACAGATGGCCAAATTAGAGTCCATCAGAAACTCTACTGTCGCAAGAAGAGCCAAAAGAGATGTGTACTTGAAAAACTTGAGCTTCTGAATAAAGWAGTTCAAACTGAACTTGAAAACATATTTAGCTGTAAAATTGATCTAAGCATAGATGTTGGTGTGAGTGAAAAACTGGGATTCCAATCTCCTTTACCAACATATTAGATGCTTTTTTACAAAATAAAAACGAATAAGTCAATATTCAATTAAAGAAGTATCTGCATAGACAAAATTGAATAAATGTTAGTTTTAAAACATTTATAACTGCTTTGGCAATATTTCTTCCTTTCTTTCTTTCTTTCTTTCTTTAATTCTTTCTTTCTTTCTTTCTTTCTTTCTTTCTT